TGTTGAACAATAGCTAACAAATGAAATGAATTCAATTGAAATGCAACATTTTACTGAAAAATTCATTTGCATTACAGAAATTGCACTGCGCGGGGAGCGGAGGCAGCGCCGCTAGATGCACTGCAGTTCGATTTCATTGTTTTGCATCGCAACCGGAAATTATAAATTGGCGGAAGGAGTTATTAAGCAGCAAAGTTCATGGAAATATCAATTTTGATTTATAAAATGCATAAAAATAAAAAAAAAATAAAAAAAAAATATACACAAAACATTTGTTGAAATCGTTTATGAATAAAATAAATACGAGTGAACCTTTTGTTATGTTTTTTCTCCATTTCCATTAAAACATGCGCTGCATTGTAGCAAACTTTTAATTGGCAGCAATTCGGATTGCTATGAAAAAATTATAATATGTATTTCTGCATATATACAGATTTGATATACGCCTATATAATCAATAAAAATTTGTATTTATGTAAAAAAAAAATAAATAGATTTTTTTGGAGAAAAATTTTTAAGTTTTTTAAGTGCAGTGAAAAATTTCGTACGGAATTTGTTTTCATTTTTCAAAGTGAAAAAATTCGTTCAGTTATGGTTTCGTTTTGTATCTTCAACTATTGGAAATATGGTATGTGTGGACTGCAAATACACATATAGATATTTATCAATAAATGCAATAAAAAATGTATCTAATACATAAAACATTTAAGCAACTAAAACGTTTTGTATCCGCACAGTTTCTACAGTTAAAGGACCAATAAATTAATTCAATTTATTTACTCAATTTCATTTGATTTTCTTCCTTTTCTTCCGAGCAGGAAAAATAAAATTAAACGAAATATAAAAGTTCTAGACAAACGTTAAAATTCCATTTTTCTTTCTGATTTCATTATTTATTCTCGTAAATGTGTTTTTAATGGTTTCAATTCAATTCCTTGTTTCATTTTCTCTCCTTTATTGTTTTAGTTTAATTTATTTTTATTTAATTCTTTTCTTTTCATTCCACATACATATATTTTCCAACATGTGATGCCAGATTTATTTATGAAATTAACCTAAAAAAAGTGATTTGTGCAGTGATAAGTAATTATTTATTAATGTTAAGTATGGGAAAATCTATAAAATTATTTCAATCAAACTTCATTATAGTTAGATATGTGGAACTATGTATAGTTAACTATTCACAACGCTAAATTGTGATAAAACTAAATGATATAAAAGACAACTTAAATGAAGTTTCACATGCCATTTTTGTTAATATAATTAACAATTACTATTGTATTTACATATATCGAATCTCTTTAGTATATTTTTATATGGATTTTGTATGGATTTTATATGAATAATGGTACATATGTTAATGCTACTACTTAAACATAGCATAATGCGATGAAGTGCTTTTGAAGAACGAATTGAATCCTACATCGTGTGAGTTATTCAGAAACATATGATTAGGACAAAGTGACATTACAAATAAGTTTAATCGCGATTCTTAAGTTGTGTCCAGATTAACACATTCATAGAGATAAAATGACATCATTGGGACAAACCCTATCAAAAATAGGGTTAACTGCACAACTTAAGAAGTATCCAGATTTACATGTTCATAGAGATAACTTGACATCAAAGAATAGTAAGAATCATACATCTTAACAGATGAACACATATACATTTTCATAACGTGATTGTGGCATTGAAGAAGAAAGGGAGTTATACATTTTAAAAGTGATCAGATATATAACTTCGTTAAATCGAAATGTCATTGAAGCCATTCACATAACACATATCGTAAAAATTGTGAGTTCTTAGAAACGAAGCGGCGATGAAGAATACTGCAATGTGATTCGCAAAGTGCACTTGTAATTAAGTTAATCATTAATTGTATATTTCTTGTATATTTTTTTAATATAAAACAATACTCAAATATTCGAACGGCCGTGTTTTGTTCAACCAATACTTTCATATAA